AAAGTCGCAGCCTCCTCAGGCTGTTACCTCTACCCCGACACCATCAGCACCAGTAGCCTTAAAGGCGCAGATTACTCGGGAGTCGACCAAAGAAGTGGGTAGAGTGCCAGAAAGGGCCCTACCAGAACGTAGAGCCCGCTCTACGGTTAGAGCGCGCTCTACCCACAAGCCAAGAGGGCAGGACCAGGAACATCCGCACCCGAGACAATTGCCAACGCCTTCATACAGGAGAACACCCGCCACCGGCCTCGAGACAGCAGATGCGATACAACCCTTAGTTGGTATTGCCATCGAGGTCGGCACGCAAGTCCTGGCCGATATCAGAGCCGGGACTGACCCAATAACAGTAATTATGAAGGCGCTGGCAAATCTATTAGCCCGGCATTACGGAGGAGAGTAATCTGCGCCTCCTCTATTGGAACCCGGGCGGAATACAGCAGAAGCTTCATGAACTCCGCACAGTCGCCCAGCAACAGGACTTGCACATTATATTGCTGGGCGAGACAAAACTTAACCCAAAGACGCATATTAAGCTGCCTAATTACCATCTATACAGAAGGGACGAGGTCACCCCCCAGGGGGCCGCCTTTAGAGGGACGGCGGTTCTTGTGAGGAGGGACATCGTCCACCAAGAGCTGGAATTACCATCTTTCCAGACTATGCGCTCTATCGGCATAAGAATGGAGGCGGCGGGCGAGGAACTAAGGATCTACGCAGCATACCGCCCGCCAGGGACTCCATTCTGCTCCTCAGACATCCGGACAGTGATGGAAGGCGATACACCTACCATAATCGCCGGGGACCTAAACGCCAAACACCCGGCGTGGGGGTCCAGAGTGATCACCCCGCCGGGTCTTGCACTATATGAAGACTCAGAGAGGAACAACTATGACGTTTTAGGTCCCGAAGAACCAACCAACGTTCCAACAGATCCGAAGCAACATCCGGATGTATTAGACATCGTGCTCTCTAGGAACGTCAACTACCCGGTAGTGGTAGAGGTGCTATACGACCTGAGCTCACAGCACCTCCCGATTCTGATAACCCTTGGCACTAAGGCGGTGACTACGCCGCCCAGAGTATTTAAGACACGTATTGACTGGAGGCGCTATGCACAACACCTGCAAGCGAGACCTCCAGCTCACCAACTTATCAACACAGCGGACGACGTAGAGGCCGCTGCAACCAGAATCACCAAAAACATCCAGGAGGCCCTCCACGCGGCTTCTACGATCGTCCCGATCACAGAAAGGCGAGACGATCTACCGCGGGATATAAGTGTCATGATAAAACGCAAAAGAGCACTCAGGAGACTCTGGGCGCGTACTCGCTGCCCAAGACTAAAAGCACAACTCAACACCTTATCGGAGGAGCTGTCGGTGGCAGTCCGGGCACACAGAGGAGAGGCCTGGGAGCGGCGCATATGGAAGGCGGAAGAACAAAATGCGTCGCTCTATAGACTGAACCGACAGCTAACCAAAACCAGACCTCCCGTTTGCCCGCTTACTAACAGTGCGGGCGAACGCTGCTATGATGCCAAGGGCAGAGCGGATATCCTAGGAGAGCACTTCGAGGAGCAATTTATGCCGAATCCTGCAAGTGCGGAGTACATGGAGCTTCATGCCCTAAAGGAGAGTCGCGTACAGGAGTTCCTGTCGTCGCCCGCGCCGCCTCTTGCAGGAGAGTGGTTCATCTCCCCCCGCTGAACTGCGGAGGACAGTAACCCGCCTGCAACCGAGGAAGGCGCCTGGGCACGATGGGATTACCAACGCTGCACTCCGACAGCTGCCCTATAAAGTCCTAGTAGAGATTGGTCGACTCTACAATGGGATATTGCGGACATCCCACTTCCCGGAGGAATGGAAAAAAGGCAAAATTATCGTCTTGCCGAAACCCGGGAAGGACAGGCGTAGAGCTGCCAGCTACAGGCCGATTACGCTATTACCGCACATAGCTAAACTGTTTGAAAGATTGCTGCTAAGACGTCTCCGTCCGTGCATCCAACTTCGGGCGGAGCAGCACGGATTCAGGAGGGGTCACTCTACAGTCACACAGTTGACTAGAGTGCTGCACCTGCTTGCGGCAGAGTACAATCGTGGCCGCATATCGTTGGGCGTCTTCCTCGATATCGAGAAGGCGTTCGACCGGGTGTGGCACTCAGGATTACTATACAAGTTGCACGAACAGACCAGTGTCCCCCCCTGCTATGTTGCGGTTAATGGCGTCTTTCCTGGAAGACAGGAAGTTCTACGTCTGCGTAGAGGACGCCGAGTCCGCAACAAGAACCATCAGTGCCGGCGTCCCACAGGGCAGTTGTCTGTCTCCAGTCCTGTACGCGGCTTACACGAATGATATTCCAACATTGGCAGGCAGGCTGCAAGAATGGGAGGACGACGTTGAGCTGGCGCTATATGCGGACGATAGCGCCTATTTCACCTCGTCCGGAAGAGCCCATATAGCCACTGCCAAAATGCAGCGTCTGCTGGACCTGTTGCCACCATGGCTGAACGAGTGGAGGATGGTCGTCAACGTTGGTAAGACGACCGCTCTGCTCACCCGCCGCCTCAGAAACCTACCACCACCACTAACTCTCGACGGCCAGAAGATCGCGTACGAGAAGGCCGTGACATACCTCGGGTGCCGGATCGACCGGGCGCTGCGCATGACTGCGCACGTCGACTTCGTCGTCCGCAAAGCCAGATGTGCGCGGGCGATGCTTCGTCCGGTCCTGGCATCCAAGCTGCCCATAAAGACCAAGCTCCGGATATACAAGATGTATATCCGGACTATTACCACCTACGCTGCTCCGGCCTGGTACGCGCTTCTGAGTGACACCCAGAGGCGGCGATTACAGGCTCAGCAGAACCTGTCATTAAGGACGATTGTCGGAGCAGGTCGTTACGTCCGGAATGACGTCATAGCGGCCGATCTGAAAGTCGAGACCATCACTGACTTCGTGGCCCGGTTAGCGCGCGGCATGTTTGACCGTGCCGATAACGGGCCACATGAACACCTGAACGGCTTTGCGCCGTTACACACCCGGCCACCGGACGGGCGACCTCTTCCAAGAGAACTCCTCTCTATATGTGATTAGAGAGTTGAGTAACAACCCACAATGCCGCAGAAAGGCCAACTTAGACTTTTGAAAACCTCTATAGATTACCTCCCTTTCCGTAGTCGGTGAACTACGGAAAGTAAATTTTCTTATCCGGCTACATAATATAATGCAGCATAACCACGCCAAGATAGGCAATAAGTGACTGCCCCATAGTCATGGGGTATGAGGATATCCGGGTAATGGGGTATACCCCGAGGCCCGATACCTGCACGTACTTAGGTACGTACAGAAGACATCAACGTTGCAATTCGTTCGGGAATCCTTTGGGAAAAAAGTTCGGGAAGTTCGGGAATCCTTCGGGAAAAAAGTTCGGGAAGTTCGGGAATCCTTCGGGAAAAAAGTTCGGGGAGAAAAGTTCGAGAAAAGTGAAAAACCAGCAGTCAATAAGAAGAGTATAGGGAAGTGATAGGGAAAAAGTGATTACTCTCTCACGGAACGGTTTGAAGATAATTGCTGTTTTATTCCCAAGTAATTCATCCCTCAAGATTATACAGTCCACATCGAAGAATTAAGGCGTTGGGACCGGGACGACTTCGGAAGACCCGTAATCCCCGTCTGAACCTATTCGCCGAAAAATAAGAGGTTGTCGCCCTTGTGTGTTACTCCGTTGCGGAGATCACATACGTTGTTTCCGAACCCAACGTAGGCGTTATAGGAGGCCGGATCGAGAGAAGCCACGATTCCTCCCTTCTGTTTCTTAATCCCCTCGCTGGTTCCTTTTCAATTGGACCTTCGGAGCCGGATTAAGAGGACCGAAGCCCGTTGGTTTCTTTTCAATTGGTCATTCGCGGCCGGATCAAGAGGACCCCCGAACCCTAGTTCCTTTTCACTGACACTTTGCAAAGAACAAAAAGAAAGAAATCCAGATGTAGAACCATTACAGTTGATACAGAAAGTCGTAACACGCTGGAATAGTGTATATTATATGAAAAAAGAATTTTTAAATTAATTTAAACTTTTAACTTAAATTTAATTTTTAAATTAATTAATTTAAACTTCAATCACATGGATTGCAAAACGCCCGAGAATATTGAGTCAGAATTCTGGTTTCAACACCTTTTACTTTCCTGCCATATTCGCACCATTATTGTACCCTTAACCTAGATAATCATTCATGTCGAAGTCAAACACGTACAATTGCATCAAGAAAGATGCGAGTAAGTCCTCTTTCCGAAAAGTCACTTACTGGCTTGTAAGCAACCAGCAACAAAATAACTGTGACTTCCTAATTAGTCCAGTCAAATTAGTCCTTAAAATAGAGGTAAGGTTACAATAATTCCCATAGAGCTAAAAATTGGTATGAATGTTCAGAATTTATGATTGTGAAAAGTCCCCATCAATCCCCCCTTGTGCAAAAAATTTTATTGATGGTGAAAGTTTGCAAAAATAGGTTTTTCGCGTTTTTCAGCTAAACGGTGAGTTTTACAGCAAAAATAGTTCAGACAAAAATTGTAGATCATCCGATTCTCTACAAAAAATGTATCTACACTTTTTTTCATAAGTATTGCCATTTCCATGATATAGCGGTTGAAAGAATTGAAAAAAATATTTTATTCGTAATATGCACGTTAATGTACTTTTATATACATTTTTTGAACCGTTATACGAGTAAACACATGAGTCCATACATACAAATTATAAAATTCTTAGAATATAAATGAACGTCAAAAACTCCCCTATTTTCATTTAGTCGCATGGCCTTGAGTAACATCTGTCTTCCATTCAATTGTCAGCGTGGCGATGCTCGTATACCTGCTCCGTTTCGAAGGTCTCATACTCAACACAATACTGTTAGTCGTAAGCATTCCTTCGTAGTGACAACTCGTGGCTATCGCTTATATTTTGTAACAAAGTTTGTGCATTTTACTGTTTTTTAAAAAAAATGTCGCAATTCTGCTTTATTTGTAGTCAACCTTTGACTGAAAGTGGAGTTGTTACTGTTGATCGCGGCATGAAAGCATTAATTGATGCAAGTATTGAAAGAGGCGATGAGTTTTCGGAGTACCTGAAAGACCAGACATCTGTAAAAATTCATGTGCAGTGTCGAAAAAATTATACTCGAAAAAGTAGCATTGATGCCGTGAAAAGACGGCGCCAAGAAGAAGAAGCTGGTTCATCAAAAATAAGTCCTCCTCGTACTAGAGCACGAGTAAGTGAAACTACATTTTGCTTCTGGGGTTAAGAGAAGGAAAAAAAAAGCGGGCAAATTTAGTTTTTTCCTGTTGTGTGTGGCGTGTTGCTGCTCGATTGTTTGTAAGCCAATTCTTTTCTGAAACCGACCACTGGGGGTAAAGTCGGTCGTCCTAAAGATGAAGCTACAAATATTGCGATGAGAGAAATATTTAAGTATATTGAAAATAGCGATGATTGTCAATTCACATTAGACGAATTGAAAAGTATTTGTAAAAAATCAACAATAGATAACAGAACCATTAAAATGCGATTGAAGTTGGAGTATGGTGATAGAATTATTATTACAGAAAAATCAGGATCATCAACATTCGTATGTTTTATTGATAGTCACCATGATATTTTAAATCAAGCTTGGTACGAAAAAAAAACCGATAAAAAAGAAGAGCGATTTCGCATCTTAGAAGCTGCAGCAGCAATTATTCGAGAGGATATCCAATGTGCAGTGTTAGATAATTCTAATTATCCTCCACCAGGTCGTATGTTTGAAGATATTGATACAGACATTCCAAAGTCACTGACTTATTTCTTAGAGAAGGTCATTTTAAAAAATAAACGCTCCAATTTAGAACATTTACAATTAGTATGCACGAATATTAGCCATAGTATTATGAGTGCTGTTCGGCCTAGGTCTTTCAAGTCCAAATTACAATTGGGTCTCTCCGTTTTTTTTTCATCGGCGATTTGGATCGAAAAGGCTTATACAAATTTTTTCATCTTTTGGTTTGTGCGCATCTTATAATGATACGATGATGTACGAGGCAGCAGCAGTTTTTCATCGTCCACCTCTTATCTTATCACCTGAAACTGGCACATTTATTCAATATGTAGCAGATAATGCTGATATAAATGTAAATACGCTAGACGGTCATAACACGCATCACATTATGGGTATTATTCAGATTGTTACTCCAAAAACTTCAGTTGTACTAGAAGAGCCTATACAACGAATAAAAGTAGTCCCATCAGCAAAAGATTTTGCGGCAATAGCTCATGTGCCAATACAGGTGTATGAAAATAATGGTGTAGTAGGTTACAGTAAAATAAATGTCCGAGATTTTGACTATGGAAGTGGAGTAAGAGTATCTTTACTCAAAAAAGTCGACGTGATATGGTTCTATGGCAAATGGAGAAATTTATCAATTCCCGGTTGGAATGGTTTCATTGAGCATTTAACAAGTAATATTATAAATTTTTCAACATCGAAAATTTCATTTTTACCGTTTATTCATCAACCAGCTAGTAATTACAACACCATATACACCACTTTACTTTGTGCTTCAGAAAATGCAAAACGTTATGGTCATAATGTATGCGTTGTTACTTTTGATCAGCCTCTGTATGCAAAAGCTCGAGAAATCGTCTTAGCTGCACCTGAAGGATCTGAATTATCGAAAATCATAATCAGGCTCGGAGGATTTCATTTACTTATGTCATTTCTTGGAGCAATTGGTTACATCATGCAAGGAAGCGGTATAAAAGAAATACTTTCTTTGATTTATGCACCTGGGTCATTAGATAAAATGCTCAACGGTCATGCATACGCGAGAGCTATTCGAGCTCATACATTACTTCAGTTAGCTTTAACAATAATAATATTTAAAGAACTTGATATTGATGACGCCATTGATGAAAATCTGACGATAACTGTGAAAAATGTAATTGATAATTCTATTTCATATAATGATGTTGAACATGATAATGAAACATCTGGAGCATTACTGAATAAGTTTAATGAAAAACTAAAAGAATATGAAAAACGAGGACCCACCGCAAAATTATGGATTCAATATTTTGATATGGTGTCGATTGCAAAGGAGTTTATAAGAGCTGAACGTATGGGAGATTGGCAAGCTCACTTGGACAGCGTTAAAGAAATGCTTCCTTACTTTCACGCGTCGGGACATTTCTCTTATGCTAAATCATCACACTTATATCTACAAGATATGCTACAATTAAAAAACTGCATGGATCCTGATGTTTACCAACGTTTTACAGGAGGATATTTTACGATTAGACGTTCAGATAAATTGAGTTGTGGAACTTCAACAAACATGGTGATCGAGCAGTCAATGATGAAAGCAATGAAGACAGATGGAGGTCTTTCTCGAGGGAGAAGTACGAAAGAGAGTGTCATAAGTAAATGGGTATATGGTATGCATGCAATGAATGCTATTTGTGAAGGATTGGAAGATTTCGCTAATGTTAAAATGGACACAACAGATCAGCATGTTGATGCAAGTGATTCTCGAATGAAGAAAGATTCTCAAGACATACAAAGCCTCCTAGAGTGGTTTTCTTTACATGATCCTTTTTCAGAATTGTATCTATTGCCAGTGGAATTGTTGGTGATGACAAAATTAATTGTCATAAAGCTCGTGAAGTTGGAATTGCTTGCATGTCAAAAATAACAGGATTGACGTTTGATAACATTAAATTGAAACGTGCTGATAAAGTAGTCCCTCTTTTAGCTATGAGTAGCACTGTCAAAGTTCACGATAAGAAGATTCCTGTTGACCCTGTATTATTATTTCAACGTATGAGTATTACGACTGCTTTGGAAGATGAAATTGAAAAATATTTCGAATATGAATTGGCTCCCTACCCATTGTCAATATTTGATGAAATTGGAATGCGTAAAACACAAAAGTCAGCCATTTACGATTGTTTTCAAACAGTAATATTAGATATTGACAATATAAATTCTACGTTCATCATCGACGGGGGATTTCTGTTACACCGAGTTGTCTGGGACCATGAAGAAACATTTCATAATATTTTAGACAAATATGTTCAGTATGTACGTAGACATTTTGGCCATAGAGTGACTGTAGTATTTGATGGTTACACCGATTGTAAAAAAAATATCAAAGCCGCAGAACAACGACGTCGAGCTACAACAACATCTTCATCTTCTGATGTTATTTTTGATGAATTTATGACAGTTCCCACAAGCAAACAAAAATTTCTTGCAAATACCCACAACAAGTCTCGGTTTTAGTTAAAGAAAAATTTACTACTGAAAATATTCTTGTAAAACAAGCTGAAAATGATGCTGATGTTCTGATCATTGAAACAGCAATAGAACAATTCAACTCAACAAATACAACTATTGTTGTTGGTGAAGATGTCGATTTATTAGTATTACTTACTGCTCGAACTCCAACAGAAAAAATTATTTATTTTTTTAAAAGACTCAGCAGCAATCGGAAATATATACATCAAAAAGTCTCTGTGCTTTTCCAAAATGCCAAAATCATATACTTTTTCTACACGCAATAACTGGCTGCGATACAACATCAGCATTTTTCAAGAGGAGCAAAACAACGGTTTTGAAATTGTTCGAGAAACAAAATTTAATTAATTTTGCTGAAGTTTTTAAAGATAGTGACTCTACTCCAGAAGTTATAATCACTAATGGAATTCGCTTTCTTCTTTCTATGTACGGAGCTCCAAAAAAAAATTACCTGCTTGGATAAGCTCCGATACTTATCTTTTGCAAAAAAAACTTATAATAAAAAACAAGTGCAATTAGCTTGTCTTCCCCCAACCTCTGCTGCTGCTCAACAACATCTATTCCGGGTATATTATCAAGTTCAAGTGTGCCTTGGTAATAAAATGGATCCAGAAGACTGGGGTTGGAAGTTAGTTGACAATGCATTGGAACCAATTCATACGTTACTCCCACCTGCACCAGAAAAACTCCTTAACACCATCTTTTGCAATTGCAAAAAAAGGTTGCAATGCTAAATGCGTCTGTAAAAAGGTTGGACTGTTTTGTTCTTTAGCATGCTCCAATTGTCAAGGACAGTCGTGCTCCAATGTTGAATCGATACTAGATGAGGATAATTACGATATCAGTGATGAGACATATGATGCATCACTTTTAGAACATATTTGTATCCAGCAGGAAGATGAGGAAAAAGAAGATGAAGAAGAAAACGAAGACAATATATTGTCTATAAGTTCCATTGGATTATTATGAATCCGATGAATAATTTTTCCAAATTATTTTTTCATTTATTTATTACATAATTTACGAAGCTTTCATCATTTTCAATACTCCATTTGCATTCAATATGATCATAATAGATCGTGGAATAGGCCTACCGGGGAAACCACGTTAAAAAAAAAGCGCCAAGCACACTACCTGATGGGGACTTTTCACAATTCATTTATAATGGTATTCTGAACATTCATACCAATTTTTAGCTCTATGGGAATTATTGTAACCTTCAAAGTCTTATTTGACATCAAAACATAATATTAGCGATAAGAATGAGTGAATTGGTGACCGGTGACCGGTGCCCGGTGGTGGCGTTTCAGTTGATTTTCGCCCCCCCCCCTGATGACTGCACACTCCCGATGACGGTGCTCGGTGCAGTCACATCGCTTGCACCGCCATAGGGCCGCTACTGACCCCTACTACCCGACAAGCATGTGTGCATAGGTATATAGATGATGTAAAGGAGGTGAGGGAGGTGTCAATACTCAGAATCGTGCTAAATGGAAGTCCGTATATTTCAACTACTCCTATGGGTGATAGGCGTGAGTGTTTACGATATATGTATTTGTGTTATTTATGTGTTGGCGCGACTACTAACGCCATCTAGCGACGCACACCAAAACACCAAACTTTTATCTACGATTCAGAGCTCGTCATTGTCGGCGATCAATCACGGCACGTCGTGCGATTAGTTATAAGATCAGTCTGTTTTAAATTTTGATTATTACCTGATACACACTTTTAGCAATAAGACGATTTAAATATAACCACCAAACGTTCAATAAATCAATCATTGAAGAGTACCTGCCTCCCGTTCCTGTACATAAAGTGGTCCTTCGAGCCGGATAAGGTGTTCAAGCTTGAAATCTCCGAAGATTCGTCGCATCAAAATACGAAGAGGAGATTCACGTATCGAGCGAAGAGCTGCAACGTTAAGGCATCGACAGACGGGAGTGGCATGTCTGAACTTCCCGTCCGTTTCCCCATCTCACCCTTCGATAGGTGTTGATTTCGTGCTGATAGTCCATTCCCAATGCTCAAGTGGCGGTACCTACCTGCGCAACGGCACCCACCTTAGTTCGCACGCATCTACAAATTGACAACTGTAAGTACTCTTGATTTCCTTAATTCCCAAAAGAGTGAGCCTAAATATTCAGATTTAATTAAGAAAAGAGGAGTTTTAAAAGCTCGATTAACTCTATTTGAAAATTATGTTAAAAAGTTCATTTTACCCTTGACTGATCAACAGTCATTAGAATTAAATTTACGTGTCGAGAGTACTTCGAGTTTGATAGAGATGTATAGTGAAATACAGTCTAAAATTGAAGAAGAGGTAGCGGAAGATCTCGATCTTGTAAAACAGCTGGAAGAGAGAGATCGTTTCGAAGATCAATTTTATCGTGCTGTAGCTTCTGCGAAACTTTTATTGAAAAAGGAAGTATCTGACAAGTCTAGTGTTTCAACATGTAAGCCGATAGGCATAAAGTTACCCGATATTAAAATACTTTTGACAGTTCATACGAATGCTGGCTAGAGTTTAAAAATTCTTACGTTAGTATGATTCATGATCGCGATGATTTAGGTCCTGTTCAAAAATTTCATTATTTAAAATCGTCATTGTCCGGTACCGCGGCACACGTCATAGGTGCATTAGAATTTACGGCTAATAACTATTCTCACGCATGGGAGCTATTAGAGAATAGATTTAATAATCTGCGACTATTGGTTCATAATCATGTGAAGGCATTATTTAAAATTCCATCGTTAAATAAAGAGTCCGTTTCCCAGATTAGGAACTTAATAGATATTGTTTTGAGAAATTTGCGTGCCCTTAAAACGTTGGGTGAACCAACAGATTCATGGGACACTTTAATCATTTATATGGTCGTTTCCAAATTAGATCAGGCCACTGAACGCGAATGGGAAGATTTTCAAGGTACAGCTAGTTCGTTAATTGAATCAAGATCAGCTTTGAAACTGGATGACATACTTAAATTTTCACAAGGACAGGGCCGACGTTTTAGAAATGATAAAAGTGAACCATAACAAATCCCACGAGAACAAAGGCGGCGAACAAACGCGCTCTAAGAAGCAATATACACATACTCATGTTGCTACGAACGTTACTAACAATAACAATAAGGGTAATACGAAACCAAAACAAAGCCGCGTGTGTGTGATGTGTCATGGTAATCACGCGATTTATTCCTATTCAAGGTCTGTCCATTCTCAGTCTGTCAATTCGTCTGTCCAAGAAAGGAATAAGATAGTTAAAACGCATCAGCTGTGCATAAATTGTTTACGCGCAACCCACCCAGGGTAACCTTGACAAATGCAAGTTTGGGCCATGCAGGTTGTGTGATAAAAGGCACAACAGTTTGCTTCACATTGATGGACAGGCAGCCGGCGCATCACAGGTGAGCGGGTCGAGTGCATCAGCACAGCTGGTCACCGCTAACGTCTCCACTGTCTCGTCATCATTACACGTTACGGCTAACCATTCAGAATCGCAAAACAGTAATCAGGAATATTCGTTATTACCTCAACGTTTTGCTGTCCACAGCGTTAGTGGACATAGCAGATTATAATAACAAATATCACACTGTACGCATTCTGCTTGATAATGGTAGTCAACATTGTTTCATAAAGAAATCGTTATGTGACACATTAAATGCACCGTTAATACAGTTCACTTATCACGTTGCTTGCGTAGGTCAAACAATTTCGCAGTCTACCCACATTTGTAAAATAAAATTACGTTCAAGGTTAAATTCGTTTTGTATGAAGATTGTTTAGTGTTGCCGTGCATTACAAATCAATTACCCACATTTAGTGTCGATTTAAATAATATGAGTTTACCTGATAATATTCAACTTGCGGATCCGAACTTTCACTCACCGTCAGACATCGATATACTGATAGGCGCGGATAAGTTCTGGGAATTGTTGTGTGATGGCAAAATTAAGTTGAATAAAGGACCTTATTTACAAAATACAAAATTGGGTTGGATAATGTCGGGACCTTTACATAATACCTTTACTTAAACTCTGCTTGTTTACCGTTGCGTAAGTGGTTGTTTAACGTTGATATCAGTGACCACGACATATCTAAAGAATTGTCATTAGGCGAACATTGCCAAACTAAGACTAGGAGTGGGTTGGTATATTAAAAGTGATGAACTTCATTTTACCACACGAGTAGTTAGACCGAATTTACTAAATAAACGTACAATGTTGTCGATAATCGCACAAATTATACGATCCTCTAGGAATTTTAACACCGGCTGTCGTCGTAGCTAAAATAATGATGCAAAAAGTGTGGTTGTGCAAGATAAATTGGGATGATCCCGTTCCCAGTGATGTTGCGTTATCCTGGGAAAAATTTATTGACACACTTCAATATTTG